CGGCGAAAAAGGCAGCATTGCAGTGGACTGAGACATTTTCTGAAGAACATCTCAGTCAATTGTTCTCCTACTCCTTGGGGAATTCAGGTGATGAAAATCCTCTATATCCAACACCAAGATGTCCAACATGTGGAGAAATTGCCTCCAAACGATGTTCAAGATGTCGTCAGGAATGGTACTGTGGTCGAGAATGTCAAGTAAAGCACTGGTTAAAGCACAAGGGTGCTTGTGACTTGTTAGCAGAAGCAATAACTTCTGATAAAAACTCGAATTAACTTTCTTCATCATAACCATTTTTTAAAAAATCTAATGTAAATAATATTAAAGTTAAATCGAAACGTCTGAATTCCGCTATGTGAATCAGAAATTTATTTAACTATTTGTTATGAACAACACCGGTCACCTAGATATTGTTCATTTTTACACTACAAGAGAACTGCATCTAATTCATTGATTTGGGACATCCTATCCGACTAGGAACCCATCTATATGTTGTTAGGATCCCAGTGGAACCAAAATACTGCTGGTACATTTACAGAAAAGGTAAACGAAAGATACTCCGTACAGATCGTTTCTTTGACATATCTTGTAATGGCAAAATTCTAGTAGTTTTATTGTTGTTACCTTGATAGTTACAAACAAAAGTTACGTGTATTAAAAGTTAGTCTATAACCTGTGTGATCAGGTGACATTGAAAAAAGACTTCCTAGTTTTTGATACAAACAAATAAATAATAATACCGTATTTGTCTTCTCCACAGGTTTTGTAGTGATTTCTGGATAATAATAATTTAGATTCAACTATAATTCTAAATATATCAGACTGAAATTAGTCATCTTGTTTAGAGTATAGAGATGTGCTATGCAAAACAAGCGTATCAAAGACAATATTTTAGTGCTCTCAGTATGTATCGAGATGCCAGTTTCTAACTGAAAAGTAGTTCAGTATTTGTTGTATATTTCGAGATAATAAATGTTGTAATTTTTGGCTACAATTACACGAATTGACTATATTCGTTTGTCAAGTATAGTTTCAATATTTTCAGAAAAATGCTACTAAACAGCTATCGATAGTTCACACACCCGACCGTTGTTGCTACCTTGACGTGGTGGTCGGGCTTGCCTATTGTGATGAAGCAACCGAGCTATACTGGCTGGAAAAACTGTTCCTCAAGTCCTACCATGTCAGACAGGTCAGTTGAAGAGCGGTAAAACTAAAAGCAACAAACACAAGGTCCGAAGGCGAAGCCGTACTGCTGACTGTACAGAGGTGTGACAGCAGTAAGGTGTTTCCTTCAGACAGCCAGCATGACAGCGATGCTGTCACCCCCCACAAGGAGGGGTGGGGTTAGAAAAGGTCGACCCTAAAAATGCACACCTCGCCTTATCCCACGGATATCCATCTCCGGCGGTAAGGTCCCAAAAAGTACGGAGCTGACACAAAAATTACCCATAAAAAGGTCGCGTGTGACCGACCTCAAGCAGTTGTCCCTTGGGCACTGCGGTCACGCTCCCAGGTCAATAAGTTCACCTCTAATCTAAGTTCCTTTTCAGGTACCTCCAGAAGAACCCTTCCACGGTGTGGGCAACCGGGAAGTGATAACCTCCTCATACCTCTAACAGCACTCAAGACCACTGTATTCATAATCAACCTCCCTCTTCACTTTCTATTATTCCTCCTACATCGACTTTCAACTCTAAACTTCCTTCTTCGGCTTCCTCCTCAAATGTTACCGTAGCCAACGATTCTAGTGCTCAAAACACTGTCTCAGGTCTACTGAAACCACGCTCCAAACTACACATTGGAGCCTTCAACGTACGCACCCCGTGTCAAATCGGTCAACAGGCTTCCTTGGCTAGAACTCTAGAATCTCGTACCGTTGATGTATGCTGTGTCTCCGAAACACGCATACAGGATCCCAGTACGGTCATCCACTTGACCTCACCTCGGCAAAACGGAGAGCCAACGAGATACACCCTCCGTGTATCTGGTGACCCGACGGCCAGCTCTCATGGACTGGCAGGTGTAGGCATAGTACTATGCATGAGGGCGGAACAAGCGCTGTTAGAGTGGATCCCCGTTAACAGTCGTTTATGTGCTGTTCGGCTAAACGGCTCCGTAAGAACTCGGAAGGATAGGGACACACGTCGTTGCCTTTTCGTCGTTTCTGCCTACGCTCCCACTGATTGCAGCTCAGATGAAGTGAAAGATGAATTTTACAGAAAGCTGTCCGAAATTCTTCATATATCTAAACGTTCAGAAATAGTACTCGTAGCAGGTGACTTTAATGACCAGAGAGGTAGTTTAAACTAAATAAAAAGGCATTTAGGTGGGTATTTTGGTTTTCCGGCTCAGCGAACAGATAGTGGTGATCGTCTGCTGCAACTGTGCTCAGACAATCGTTTATTTTTAGCAAACACCAATTTTAAGCATAAGGAGAGATATCATCTAACATGGCGAGCGCCTGCACCAAACCAACGATGGACTCAAATAGACCATATTGCCATCAGTCATCGTTGGAGAGGGTCGGTACAAGATTGTCGCTCATTCTGGAGTATCTGCTTGGACTCCGACCACGCCCCAATACGGGCACGCATCTGCTTGCGCCTCACTGGACGCAAAAAAGCCTCAGTAAAAAGAACAATTATAACTGATTTGAGTAGCGAGAAAACCAAAAGTAGGTTCCAGGAACAACTGAGGTCACACTTAAATAGTTCTGAAAACGAGGCTGACCCAGATGTTGCTTGGAAAGCTATACAAACAGCCTTGGAAACAGCAGTGACATCTATTAGTGATTTAAACCACAGGGTCACAAAGAACCAATGGATTTCGTCAAGGTCTATTGCACTGATGGATTCTCGTAAACTCATCCCATCAGGCTCTGAACACGATGAAGAGCGACAACAAATCAGATCTAGGTTAAGCAAAAGTCTAAGGAACGACCGTGAGCAGTGGTGGGCAACGAAAGCAAAAGGAGTGGAAAAGCCGGCGGCTGTAGGTAACACAAGACAGCTTTACAGACTAATAAAAGAAACTGGAATTAATAAGTCAAGTGTAAGTGAGACTATTTCTGAAAAAGACGACACCCTCATCTGCTCTCAGACGTTTAGAACGATGGGCAGAACATTTCAGAGAACAGTTCAGCTGGCCTTCAGCTACCCTACAACTACCCACCATTCCCATACAGTGTGAATAGAACATTGAAGTAGGTCCCTCGACGCTAGCTGAAGTTCAGAAAACTATAGATAATCTGAAACGAGGAAGGGCAGCTGGTCCAGATTGATTGGCTCCAGAGGTCTTTAAGGATGGTGGTCCAATTTTAGCGATTAGGTTGGCTAATATGTTAGCTTAGATCTGGGAGTTAGACGTTATTCCATCTGACTGGTCACAATCACTGATCGTCCCAATATATAAGAGAGGGTTAAAATCATCCTGTGACAACCATAGAGGGATTAGTTTAACTAATATAGTATGTAAAATACTAGCCTCGATAATTATCAGACGCTTAACTAAGACTCGTGAACTGCAAAAACGAGAGAATCAAGCTGGCTTCAGACCTGGTCGTGGCTGCATCGGCCACATATTCACCATTCGTCAGGTTCTAGAACATAGGCATACTTATTGGCGTCCGACAATGATGGTCTTTCTTGACTTAAAAGCAGCATTTGACTCGGTAGACCACGAGATTCTGTGGCAGTGTCTGTCATTGAAAGGCGTACCTCAGAAGTACATAAACCTAGTGAAGGCTCCTTACTCGAACACTACCAATCGAGTCAGAGTTTATGGCGAACTGTCATCTGCTTTTACAACTTCAAGTGGTGTCTGTCAAGGCTGTCCACTTTCTCCATTTTTGTTTAACTTCATCATAGACCTATTGATGGAGATAATATTCTCGTCTACTGAATTCTCGGGTATTGATCCCCTTCCAGGATGTGCACTTATCGACTTAGAATACGCAGATGACATAGTCCTGTTTGGTGAAGACGCTGATAAAATGCAGAGTCTTTTGATAGCGCTGAGCAACAATGCCAGAATGTTTGGAATGCGCTTCTCTCCCTCTGAATGCAAGTTGTTGCTTCAGGACTGGTCTGTGTCAACACCTGAACTAAGGATAGGGAGTGAAGTAGTCGAACGCGTTGACAACTTCACTTACCTTGGAAGTCTGGGTTGGTGTCTGACGACATTTTCTGCACGGTTCTCGTTTGGCTTTTGCCAACTTACGTCACCTATGGCAAAGGCGAGATATCCGTCTATCAATAAAAGGACGAGTATACCGCGCGGTAGTCCGTTCTGTTCTACTTGACGGCTGAGAAACATGGCCATTAAGAGTAGAAGACACTCGTGAGCTACTAGTATTTGACCACAGATGCCTCAGAAATATTGCTGGCGTCTGCTGGGATCACCAGGTAAGTAATAGTGAAGTTAGACACAGGGTATTAGGATATGATGGTAAATCAGTCGATGAGGTTGTGAATCTTCATCGACTGAGATGGTCGGGCCACGTGTTACGTATACCCGAACACCGGTTACCACGACGTGCAATGCTAACCGGTGTTCGGGATGGTTGGAAGAAAGTTAGGGGCGGCCAAACCAAAACGTGGCATCAGTGTTTGAAGTCACTAACTTCTAGTTTGAGCCATGTTTGTAGATGCCGACTACTTGGTTGGGGTCCGCGTGACTATCGCAACCAATGGTTGGAGACTCGGTGACATGGCTCAGAATCGATCACAATATCGTAGGTGTATACACTCTCTATCTTCTCTTAAACTAAGAGATTAAAATCGCTTCATATCTTTCTTTCTACGAACTAATTCTTTATTACGGTACTATATCCTTATATGCAATCTTTCTTTTATATATTACCACCACTGAATTAACTACTTCTATGAGTCCAGTGTTCATGTTGCTGTACTAATGAGGTATGACCACTTGGACCGATGCATATATGTGCCTGGTCCTACGTTGTAGCTGACTGACTGATAGATCACACAACATTTGAGTTGAGAAACAAAACTTATGCAATATAGTTATATTTTGACATTTTTCCATAGACATTGGCTTCAACAACAATATCAGTACCAATCAGATGTTCGCAAATAAGTTAGTGAAATCACTATTTCCATAGCGTGAAATAATTAAAAGCATTTTAAGTAGGTTATAATCAGGGAAGCAAATATATATAAAAAGAAAGCAACTGTAAAAAACCTAAATAACTGTACATGATCGTTGGGATTTATATGGATTGTCTCTTGGGGGACAGAGCAAGGGGTCATTTTGAGCGTTAGTGAAACAATAATTACGTATATCCCAAATGGTCTTGCTAAGGGCAATACGGTTTAGCTCCAAGCTATGTTTGTAACATGCAATATCGAGTTTTTTCTGCTCGATTTCACCCTGTCGAGGATTGTTTTGATCACCTTCCCCAGGATTATCGAAAGAGTTCATGTTTCTATGAGGTAAATTCATAATAAAAGCATGTAAAAGAGTATGGATCTCATCATAAACAATAAAGCAATAGAACTGACTTGAAAAACAGTTGACCAATGATTATATAACACATGGTATATCTCTATTGTATAATCTAGCAAAAAACACACCCAAGGTATATACTCTTATTCAACAACAATATGGCAGAGTAGAGAACCAAGTTCGTGTTAAATTGTTATTTACTATGGGTGAGGATGAAAGTAATATCATTTCGTGGGTATCGTGAAAAATCATTTCCACGCTTAAAATAATAATGCCATTAGGCCATACGAAGTACGTCCTAAATTTCTGGAGAAAATTTGTCTACGGGAGTCGGAGATAAACGGCGTGAGACTTTGTTGGAATATGCATTGGTCCGTGTTGCTATATTTCAGGATACTGATAGGAAACAAACAAGGGGAAAGCATAGGAGTGAACACGACGGAGATAAAAAGTAGTGAGAAATAAAAAAGAGAAATTTCAGAATAAACAGATATATTGGGAATCAAAAACTAAAGTATCACAATATTCAGTGTATAAGATTGTAAAAAGTAAATGAATCTGTGCTAGTACAAGCAATTCCGAGCCATGTCACTATTAGCACAGGTTTCACGTTTGTGGCGGGATATTGAAGTGCTAGTAATTTCATGTACTGATGTCGCATTTATGTCTGGTGCACTAAAGTTACTAACCAGCATAATACAACAAGGTAGGTATTTGATAAATAGACGTGATATATATCAACCATCTCAACCAATAAAAATAATGAACCTCATTAACTGACTTATCACATTTACCTAGAAATTCACAAATTATGTCAACACTGACTGACGGTTAAGTCTTAATTTATTGAACGAATAAAAGTTTTTATATTCTGCAACTGTTTGTGATATTAAATAATATTTATTTTTTTGCTAGTAATTTGTATGTAAGCATGTTACTATGTTAAATAATAAGCCTATTTTTATGTAGCTGCCTTGTCTTCTGATGTCAGTTCATTTGGCAGTTTGGATCAATAATTTGGGATTGAGAGCAGTCATCAATCAGATACATTTTATTGATCCACTTTGGCAGCTGATTAGTATTCTATGCAATCATTTTTCCACTCTTTGTATTCGCCCAAATTCTAATCTCCTGAATTCTTCATGTCCCTTTTTCTGCTTCCTAATTTATTTCACTGGATTACACCCCTTGAATATCATCTTCAAACCCTAACCTTTCTGATTACTGCTTATAATTTACTACATCTACCACTATGGGATTTGAATCGACAATTGTATCTCTGTGCTAATGTGGTATGGCAACTTGAACTGATGTACGTACGTATGAAGTTCTACGTAGTTGATGACTGACTGACTGATGCAATCATTTTACAATAAAAATCATGAAGTTTTAAACCATAACAACTATTCACTGGGTGGTCCTACCCGACTCTAGAAAGCATTCAGGGTTATTTGCGACTGAATTCGTTCTTATAATTGGGAAATTTTCGTCTTAAATTTCTGTAACCGTAGTTCGTAGATCTAGATTTTGATGGAAACTTTGGACAATTGTACTATAAACCAGACACATATATTAGGATTGATATACTCATTAGGAAAAATACACTAAATATCAATGAGTAGAAACATTAGTGCTTAAGGGTAATAGGTGGTTTCTATAAGTCTAACGGGTTTCCTAGAATCTTGGAAATATTTGTTGAGTAAACAGTTTAACGGGTGTATTCCAACACCACCAAATGACTGAGCTGACCGACCTAACTGTGAGGATGATGAAAACGATTACATACTCATCTGGTTGTTTTAACTTGCTAAAATACTGATGACTAGTTTTTGTGTCCCGCAGGCATAACTGGCTACTCGACTCAGTATGACTGAACGTTCTAACATGTTATACCAAGGAAACTAATGTAAACTTTTGAAAATCTTTAGCAGTAATCTTGATAAAACGTCAAAAGCTCGAAAATGATCGAGTCAACAATTATACAGAGAACATGCAGTCGCAGAAGCAGAGGTTGATAAAATGAAAAGTAAAATTACTTTTCATGTATGTCTGAGTATAATTGTGATGGTGATTTCAATATGCTACAACTGTTATGAAAGTTTTAAGAAATACATTAATTTTATTCGGCCTAGTTCGTCAAAAATGACAGATTATTAACTTCCATAAAAGCTTGAGTGCTAGTAGTATCTTGGAGTACCTTTTTCAAGACCTGCTAGCAAGGACTAAACGTGATCAAATACTGTAAGCTTACGAGTGTCTTCTACTCTTAATGGCCATGTTTCTCAGCCGTCAAGTAGAACAGAACGGACTGCCGCGCAGTATACTCGTCCTTTTATTGATAGACGGATATCTCGCCTTTGCCATAGGTGACGTAAGTTGGCAAAAGCCAAACGAGAACCGTGCAGAAAATGTCGTCAGACACCAACCCAGACTTCCAAGGTAAGTGAAGTTGTCAACGCGTTCGACTACTTCACTCCCTATCCTTAGTTCAGGTGTTGACACAGACCAGTCCTGAAGCAACAACTTGCATTCAGAGGGAGAGAAGCGCATTCCAAACAACAAAAACATTGGTACAAGAGGGCACCAAAGATATATGCGCCGCACAAAACAATGAGAATTCGAAGAGAAGAACAAAAGAAGGTAAGGAACGTAAAAATAGAACAATAACGAACAGATTAGTGTAAGGTAGTTTAATAATAATAAAAATAATAGTAATAATAGTAATAATGGGGGAAACGGAAAGTTACAGTCAGAAATTTTCCAGTTAAAGATACAACCACTTTTTATGAAGTAAAGGAAGGTTACAGCAGGATCGCCATTGGCTTCTATTCTGAGCCATATCTGATTACGTCTCTAGCCACTGTGATGCACCATCTATCGGACCCCAGCCAGGGAGTCGAGAAGGACCAACAGAAGCCAGCCCTTTGCAACATTCCTTCATACCACGACACTATGTCATACACTGACCACCTCTCCGCTTTTTCTAACAAGTTCCAGAGTCGGCAAATAATGCACGAAGTGGAATTGTTTGGGACGATATTCGTAGAACATGTCCAAGCCACCAAAGTCGGTGTTTCAGGATGGTGACACCAATTGCGTTATCATCTCTGTGCCCGAACACACGATGCCGAACCCCTGCATTACTAACAAGGTGTTGCCACTGGATGTCAGCAATCCTTCGGAGATAGCGATGATCAAACACAGAGAGTCGTCTAACATCCTCAACTCGGAGAGACCAGGTTTCACAAGCATAGAGCAAAACTGCTCTCACCGACGCCTTGTGGATTCGACCTTTTACAGCCAGACTAACATCACGAAGGTGCCAAAGATGGCCCAGATAGGCATAAGCCGCTCTGGCTTTCACTATGCCTGAATTGATCTCATCACTAACGCCACCACCAGCATTTATGCAGCTACCTAGATACACGAACTTCTCGACTACTTCTATCTGCTCACCATCCAGGGTGAGTAAAGGATTAGAATCCTGCCAGTCTTGTAGAAGTGCTTTGCACTTCGAAGGTGCAAAGCACATACCATACCCACGGACACTGATTGCCAACCGATTAAGTGCGGATTGCATGGCTTGGGCATTATCGCACAGTAAGACAATATCATACGCATACTCAAGGTCGAGAAGTCTTTCTCCAGACAACAGATCCACACCACCATTACCTACATCCATCAGAGCTGTTTCCAGAATGTCATCGATGGCAAAGTTGAAGAGGAATGGTGAGATTGGGCAACCCTGCCTAACCCCACTGCTCGAATGGAACAACGGAGAGAGGTGATTGTATGCCCTCACTCTTCCTGAGGTGTTTGTATATAGGGCTTTTAGGATGTTAATAAACTTCTCAGGCACACCCTTTTTCAATAGACAATCCCAGAGAACAGTCCTGTCCAACGAATCGAAGGCAGCCCTGATGTCAAGAAACACTACGATTGTTGGCCTGTGATAATTATGACGGTGTTCTAACATTTGGCGGAGGGTGAAGATATGATCAATACATCCTCGACCGGAACGAAAACCAACCTGCTACTCGCAAGTCAATCTTTCTCGGGTTTTGAACAAACTACGAAGTATGACGGAAGCCAATGGCTTGGACGCAATCGGAAGTAGATTTTTCCCACGATAGTTGTTACAGGAACGACGTGAACCCTTTTTAAAGATAGGGACAACTATCGACTCATTCCATGATGTTGGAACACTCTCTAGTTCCAAGGCATCTATAAACAACACAGTCAGTTCCTTAGCCAGAAAGTCACCACCATCTTTAAAATGGGCCGGAGGTAAGTCATCTGGGCCGGGTCATTTGTAGCGCTCCAAGGGTTGAAGTTCCTCGCGGACTTCCGCCTCATTTGGTGGATCGGACGTCACCGGCCATGGAGGACAGGACAGTCCGACCGATGTTGCCGGAGCAGCAGGCCAGTTGGACGGCCCTTCGAAGAATTCTACGCATCGTCCAAGACGTTGATAGATGTTAGTGATTGGCATCCCGTCATCCTCACAGATTGTTTTGATCACGCCAGACTTCTTGCTGCCGGCGGCTCGGATGAGTTGGGAGAGCTTTCGGTAGTTATCAGATGCAGCTGCTGCTTCCAGCTCATTATCACGCTCCGACCACCAGGCTTCTCCGTCCTTACGCAAGCTTTGCCCGATTTCATTACGTAACATCCTTCGTTTGTGGTCAAACTCACGGTCACGGGCATCGATGAATTGTAAGGAACTAGAAGAAACCCAGTGCTTATAAGCGGGACGTTTCGCGAAGCCGCAAGCGGCTTTGCTCGACATTTTCATGGCATCGTGAAGTTGCAACCGATGCTCATCTATACTTTTCGGTAGAATGGTAGCTAGCTCGATTCGATACTTACTAGCAACAGAAGTTGCAACCAGCTTGCTAACATCAATCCGTTGGCGGCGATCACTTCGCTGGCCACTGAAAAGTAAGGTGAGATTAGCGCAGACCAGGGCATGATCCGAGTCCAGATAGATACTCCAGAAGGAGCAGCAGTCTTGTACACAACCACGCCAGCGGTAGCTGATCGCGATGTGGTCAATCTGAGTCCAGGCTTGAGATGCAGAGGGAGGACGCCAGGTGGCACATCGGCGATGACTGTGCCGAAAGTTAGTGCTAGCCAGAAACAGGTTGTGGTCTGTGCATAGTTGCAGTAGACGCTCACCGTTATCTGTCCTGCGACCAACGAGTCCCCATCGGCCACCTAAACGACTCTCTTCTGTGCCTAGACGCCCGACCTGAGCATTCAAGTCTCTGGCTAGTACTACACTATCTGTCGAACGCACTTTCTGCAGAAGAACAGTTAACTGTTGGTAGAATTTATCCTTGAATGCATCCGGGCTGCAATCTGTCAGGACATAGGCGGAGATGACGAAAACACATCGTTTCTCACGTCGATTTCTTCTCACTTCGATGGAACTTTCTAATCCAACAGCACATAACCGACTGTTAATGGGGATCCAATCGATTAGTGTTGCCTCAGCTCTAGCGCTTAGTGCGGCACCAACGTCAGCAAGACCAGATGAAGATACCACAGGGTCCCCGGATAAGTGCACATAAAACAAGCTTTTTGAAGCGACAGATGGAGAGCGAATTTGTAGTACTTCACCAGAGTCTTGAATACGGGTCTCGGATAGACAACAAACGTCGATATTAAGACTTTCCAAAGACATAGCCAGCCCTATCTGTTGTCCGACCTGCATAAGTGTGCGAACGTTGAAGGCAGCCAGTTCGAATGGTGCACGTGGTTTCAGGAAAACTGCTTCAGTCCTCGTATTCGGCGGTAGCATACAATTTTCCACCAGGCAGTGACCCGCGTTTCCACCATAAGCGAGCTGCTGTATAAGTCGAAAAATAAGGACACACAGAGTGGGAATTAAAGAGAGTGAATAAATGACGTAAAAAATAATAATAACAATTATATTAATAATGATAATAATGTGAATTGTCTGATTGTTAATTGAAGCAAGACAAGTATTTCCCAAAAATATAGACATTTCATCAAGTTTGTGTGTGGTCTGTGATACTACCCGGATGCCCAAACCGAACCAGGTGGTTTTCTTAGGGGGCCCACCCCGAGCCATTGACCTAAATGTCTAACCCATCGTGAGAAGATGCAGTCCCATGGTAGCCGGTGACCAACAATTGGCTCATACGCCATTTGTTCCCTCAGGATACTAGAGCCCATGTGCACCATTGAATTGGGATCCGGTTTAAGCGCCGGACACTCGCTTTTCGTCCTCTCATATTTGTAAACAACACCCCCGCCATGAGAAGGCAGCAAGTAGGACTTCCCTGGTAGAGGCTGTATGCGCGTGGCCGTGTCAGAGCATTTCGAGAAAGAGGGCGGACCCATCCCACTCACGGCCATACCAGGCCATTTGGGGCTCGAAGCAGATAGTAGTGTCGTCTTTTCCAAAATCGTCTCACTTGCACTTGACTTATTAATTCCAGTTTCTTTTATTAGTCTGTAAAGCTGTCTTGTGTTACCTACAGCCGCCGGCTTTTCCACTCCTTTTGCTTTCGTTGCCCACCACTGCTCACGGTCGTCCCTTAGACTTTTGCTTAACCTAGATCTGATTTGTTGTCGCTCTTCATCGTGTTCAGAGCCTGATGGGATGAGTTTACGAGAATCCATCAGTGCAATAAACCTTGACGAAATCCATTGGTTCTTTGTGACCCTGTGGTTTAAATCACTAATAGATGTCACTGCTGTTTCCAAGGCTGTTTGTATAGCTTTCCAAGCAACATCTGGGTCAGCCTCGTTTTCAGAACTATTTAAGTGTGACCTCAGTTGTTCCTGGAACCTACTTTTGGTTTTCTCGCTACTCAAATCAGTTCTAATTGTTCTTTTTACTGAGGCTTTTTTGCGTCCAGTGAGGCGCAAGCAGATGCGTGCCCGTATTGGGGTGTGGTCGGAATCCAAGCAGGTATTCCAGAATGAGCGACAATATTCTATCGAGCCTCCTCAACGGAGACTA